TTTTGGCCCCTGTCTCCGGTGCTGCAGACTCCCCGTCCTGGTCCCTGACAGCCGGTGTGGATGAGGGTGCAGGACCGGGGCGGTACCGGACCTCCGCCGCTAGAGGGCAGAACACTAGCGGGGAGCAGCATCCAGGGGCCGTCCTTGGCGGAGGAGGGCCAGGATGTTAATTTTACGATTTCTTTGTACTTGTCAGAGCAGAGACGGAGAAAGCACGCTGCTCTGACTCACCACCACAGACACGCACCGACTCCTCGTGGCTGAGCCCGGCCCGAGCATCAGACCTCTTCCCCGGACAAAGAGAGGAGCGGCAGCCCGGCGACGGGAAGCTTCGAGGGAGAAGAAGAAGAAGAAGAAGAAGAAGGAAAAGGAGGAAACAAGTCAGCAGCGATGTCTGGAGTCAAGAAGAGAAACTCCAACTCGTCGGCGGACCCCGAGGAGGATAAGCAGGTCACCGAGAGGATGCTGGACAAGCCGGGCTCCAGCCCCGGCGGAGGAGACGCCAAGAGTCCGGCGGGGGAGGACGGGGTGGCCCTGAAGAGGACCATCACCCTGGTGAACGGCGTGGCCATCATCGTGGGCACCATCATCGGCTCGGGCATCTTCGTCACCCCGACCGGCGTGATCAAGGAGGCCGGCTCGGTGGGGCTGTCCCTGATCGTGTGGGCGGTGTGCGGGGTGTTCTCCACGGTGGGCGCGCTGTGCTACGCGGAGCTGGGCACCACCATCACCAAGTCCGGCGGGGACTATGCCTACATCCTGGAGGTGTACGGCTCGCTGCCGGCGTTCCTCAAACTCTGGATCGAGCTGCTCATCATCCGGCCGTCCTCGCAGTACATCGTCGCCTACGTGTTCGCCACCTACCTCCTGAAGCCGCTGTTCCCGGTGTGTCCGGTGCCGGAGAACGGGGCCAAGCTGGTGGCCTGCCTCTGTATCCGTGAGTAACCGAACCGAACCCGAGCCGAACCGAACCGAACCGAGCAGAGCCGGGCCACGCTGCCGGCAGGGATGATGCAACTTTTGAAGTGTGGTCGTGTTGTGCAGATGGAGGTTAAACTTGTCTCACACACCGGAGCTCACCTGCGGCTCGCGTCTCAGGAAGAAGAAAAAAAAGCACGTGCGATGCCGGTATCACACACACAGACATGCGCGCGCCCACACCCACAACCGTCCACGCGCGCAGCCGGTGGTGAAAAATGCCGCGTTGTTACATCAGCTCCGGTGATGCTGAGGATGTCCACTCACACCCAGCACTCAGTGTTTTTATTTAAATCTGTCTTCATAATGACACGTTTAATTTTATGTCACTTAAAAAGCAGCAGAGATGATCAAAGACGTCCAAAATGTCCCTAAATGTGTTAAAATCCACTTTAAAACAGTCTAAATAACTTTTTACATCAGCTCCAGTGATGCTGAGGATGTTCACTCATCCTGAGCCTCTTACACTCAGCATTTAGTCAACTATTTTAATTAAAGTGACCTCCTTATAAGTTCATTTTCTGCGACTTAAAGTGCTGCAAAAATGTTCCTAAATGTGACAAAAAAACACCTAAAAACTGTCAGATTAACTTATTACATCAGCCACAGTGATGCTGAGGATGTTCACTCACATGGAGCCACTTACACTCAGCATTCACTCAACTGTTCTCATATAAAATTATTCTTTGTTATAGCTGAGATCATTTTCTGTCACTTAAAAAGCAGCAAAGATGATCAGAGACTCCAAAAATGTTCCTAAATATGACAAAAAAAATACACTTAAAAAGAGTCAAATTAACTTATTGCATCAGCTGCGGTGATGCTGAGGACGTTCACTCACATGGAACCAGTTAAAGTCAGCATTTAGTCAACTATTTTAATTTAGAGTTCTTCTTTATAATTACACATTTCATTTTCTGTCACTTAAAAAGCAGCAAATGTGCCAAAATGTTCCTAAATATGACAAAAAGTACACTTAAAAAGAGTCAAATCGACTTATTACATCAGCCACAGTGATGCTGAGGACGTTCACTCACATGGAACCAGTTAAAGTCAGCATTTAGTCAACTACTTTGATTTAAAGTTCTTCGTTATAATTACACGTTTCATTTTCTGTCACTTAACGACCAGCAAAAATGAGCAAAGATGTTCCTAAATATGTCAAAAATACACTTAGATAATGAGCTCAGTTGTTACAGGGAGGTACTTTTGAATTAAAATATTTGACTCAATGCTGAATACAAGTGATTCCATGTGAGTGAACATCCTGAGCATCACCGGAGCTGATGCAATAAGTTAAAGTGATTGTTTCTGTCTCCTAAAATGCAGCAAAGATGCCAAAATGTTCCTAAATGTGACAAAATGTATACCTAAAAACTGTAAAATTATCCAATTAAAGTAAAACACAACATATATTATAGGCCAAAGTTATGTTTAAATGAGATATGTACAAATTAAAATCCATTTTCTGTCACTTAAAAAGCAGCAAAGATGCACAAAGATGCCATAATGTTCCTAAACATGTAAAAAAAATTACTTAAAACAGTTAAAAATAACTTACTGAGTCATGTCCAACTACAGTAAGTCTTACTATATATTGTGAGCTGCTACATTATCATATTTTCTAGCCCTAATTGTGAGGTTATGTTTAAATTAGATATGTGCATGTTGAAAAAATTGATTAAAAAGATCATTTCTATCATAGGCATGCACCCAAATTGTTAAATTTCAATTTTCTTCATCGTGATAACTGATTTTCTGTCACTGGAGATGAAACAAACATGAACAAAGACGCCATAATGTTCCCAAAAATAAAAATAAATGTATTTAAATAGAACAAAATACAATTATTGAGTGAACTATATTGTAGGATGCTATAATATTCATAAGCTCTAATTGAGAGTATATGTTTAAATTAGATACTTAAAACTTGCAAAACATGATTAAAAACACACTTTTTCATCATAAGTGTTTATTTCATGGGGGGCAGAGGAACCACGTCCCCTTCAGTGGTTAAATTAATACTTAAAAGTGTTTAAATTAAATTTTTTCCATTGTAATGATTCATTTTCTGTCACTTCAAAGCAACAAAAATGCCGATATGAGCACAAGTATTCTAGATTAAACAGGATACAAAGACCGTAATGTTCCTAAATAGTATAAGAAGTATATTTAGAAGGAATAAAAAGTTCAATCAAAGTACAACATAACATACTGGTGGCTGCTGCATGAGCTCTAAATGTGAGGATATGTTTAAATGAGATGTGTGCAACTAGAAAACGAAAAGATTTAAAAGATCATTTGTCAGTCGTAGCTAATAAAAAACAAACAAAAAAAACGCTGCATGTGTGTGACTCAGCAGAGAAAATAATGAATGAGACGAGTTAATGCACCGGAGAGTAAACATGTGAAGGACTCACTGCATTATGCTCTGTCATATTCTGAACATTTATTTCCGCAAAAAAGGCACAAATTCCCACTTAAAGAATCCCCAGACTGCAGGAAATCAAGTTTTAAACGCTCAAATGTTCCTGTTAAAGACCCTCCAGACCCCCCGCTGTGTGTCCAACCCTCTGATATCAGTCAGTCATAGTTTGTGTTCGAAGCAAACGGTTAAACCTGCAGCCGCTTGATGTTTACGGTGGGTTCAGTGTGATACATTTCAATGTGTTCCACAAACACATGGTCCAGTTTTGCGCCTTGTTTTGGAGCCTTAACGGGATTAACTCTGGATTATTAGCCCGCTTTAGCCTGTTAGCGCCAGTCTCTGCTTCTTGTGACCGCCACACAACTAGTAACCCTCCACCTCTGCTGCTGCCTCTTTTTTTTTTCACCACACACACACACACACACACACACACACACACACACACACACACACACACACACACACACACACGCGGTGCCAGCTAGTAACTCTAGTTGCTAATCTTCAGGCTGACTGGAGGCTAAATCCTGAGACCACATGACAAAGCTGAAGCTCAGTTATCAGTGCATGTGAGTGTGTGTGTGTGTGTGTGTGTGTGTGTGTGAGTGTTTTACAACTGTTGCTGGCTTCGGCGTGCATGACTCCGGTGCAGGCACTCGTGCATGAGCAGCTCAATAAGTCTATTTTGGTGCAGGCCATTGTTCCGTTTGACCCGTTTCTGTGAGAATTTGTGGGAATAACTGGCAGCAGCGTTCAGTTTGTGCATGCATGTACGCGCATATACGTCCGTTTGTGTTTGTGCAGTGTCCAGTCCGCTACTGTACCCGGCCTGCGAACACAGAGCCTCTTTGTGCTGTCTTGTCTTTCCATTGTGGCCCCGACCTGATTTAGGAGCTTTGAAGGGACCTGCTGCTTTAGTTAATCGCCTCTAATGGGGACCGGGGTCGGGGGAGCCTCAGCAGCTCCGTGCAGGAGGAGGCGGGCACCGGCAGCACCGTACATGTGCTTTTAAAAGACACAGGGGTGCCGTGGAAAAGGTTTTTATTCTCTCAACAACTTGTTTACCAGCACTGCGAATTCTTCTGCAGCTTGCGGCGCGTTGTGAGAAATGCAATCAAGGCACGTGCACCCAAAGACGCTTACGGTGGACGAAGGGGAACAGGTCAAAGGCAAAATAACCAACACAGTCGACTCTTTATGATATTTATAATTGCATAAGTGCAAATATAAGTATGGGGTAGCATCGGAGAAAAAAGCAAACTCAAGAATCCACAAAGCGACTTTACAAAAACTGGACACCAACCAGTGAGGCTACATTCATGCTAGTGTGTTAGCTACCTAGCGGCTACACTACTCCGTCGCCCTGGGACTCCTAAAACTGAGACTAGTTGGAAATGCTGGTGACGTCGTTTTAGTTTGAAAACCCCAGGATTGCATTTCAGTCTGAACAGACACCAGGACTGACCGACACATCGACGTTCGTCGTCATCGCAATATAAGCACATTTAAAAAACACAGTGCAGAAGTTTGACTGTGAAAAACAAGAAAACTTCTTTGAGTCTTTCTGACACTTTCTCTAACCGTGACAAGTCGAGGCAGACGTCTGCCATCTCTGAGCCTCATTCTGCTGAAGGTTTCTTCCTCTTTAACGGGTGTTTTTTTGTGCACTTTTGCACTTACTTTATGATCCCTAACATGCAGACCTTTGGAGACGCTACTGGCCTCATTTTAATTTGAAAACTCCAGGATTTCGTTTCAGTCTGGGTGGCCAGTCATGCTGAGCAATAAATTATATTTTTGTCATAATCACCACATGAACATGTGCAATAAACACATCAAAAACCGGCGAGTACGTGAAGAATCTAAAAAAAAATCACTTGAGCCCAACCCTGACCAGTCGAGGCAGACGTCCTCCCTCCCTGTGCCTGGTTCTGCTGAAGGTTTCTTCCTCCATAACTTTTGCTCCAAAGAGCTGCTCAAAGTGAATTGTCGGATCCGTTGGGTTTCTCTCTGTATCGTCTACATCAGATGGAGCCTCAGCTAACTGCAGATTAACTGGTGCTAATTTAATAGCTTAGGTTTGTTAGCATGATGGCTGAGGAAGGAGAGAAGACGGAGGAAAATAGTAATAAAATGTTTTTTTTTGAGTGTTAAAGAAAACTTTCTGTCTGTTTGGTGTTCATGTGCCATTGGTTCACTAGTATCCAGTGTGTGGACTCTATGTTAGCTTTAAAAATGTTACAGCAGAAAAACACAAGAGCTTTACAGCTAATATGCACATTTCTATATGTTTACTGATAGAAAATCATATCGTCAGCGCAGCACTGAACAATGTTACCGCAGATTTTTCTCACATCATCTCTTGCCTCCCTCGACGTTCCTGCAAGTAAAATTCAGTTCTCAGTGTTTCGTCGTTGAGTCCTGCAGGTTGGGATTTTTGTAGCTGTGTTGTTCTTCGCTCACAAATATTCTGATGCCGTTCGTATGGTAGCCAGTAGAAACCAGGCGTGATTCCTCTTAAAGCCCTGCTGTCTGTCTTCCTCTGCAGTCCTGCTGACCTTCGTGAACTGCTACAGCGTGAAAGCAGCCACCAGAGTGCAGGACTTCTTCGCAGCAGCCAAACTTCTCGCGCTCGGACTCATCATCATCATCGGCTTCGTCAAGATCGGCCAAGGTGAGCACACCTACGAACAAGCTTTCCTGTTGGTGGAGGTGCTCCATCACGGGGTCATAAATGTCTTTATCAGGCCCCAAAAGCAAATTATCCACAAAGTTTACACGTTAGCATAAAGTAAAACAAAAACCATCATGTTGAACTCAAGGTTAAGTTTAGTTTTTATTGTGATGATATGAAGTTAACATGTTGACATTTTGCACATTTATCCTTTTGAATAAGTTGCAATTAAGACCAGTTTAATTAGTTTAAATGTAATTTCAGACACAGTTACCGTCGTGTGATACGAGCTGGAGCTGCAACAAATAATCAGTTAGTTGTCAACTATTAAGTTAATCGTTGATCATGGATTAATTATAATCGCAGCTTCTTAAATGTGAATATTTTCTGTTTTTTTTCCTCCTCTGTGACAGTAAACTGAATATCTTTGTGTTGAGGGCTTATGGGGCTTATGAGGAAACTAAACAGTAATTATTTATGAAACTAATCAACAGATTAATTGGCTATAAAAGTAATCAGCAGCTGCAGCCATAATATGAACTGATATAGTGCAACGGGGATTTTAACCGCTTCACACAGGCATGAACCTAAATATATTTTATTATCTTGAGTGCAGGTTAATGTTTGTATACTTGCCACACAATAACAGCTTTTAGCATCAAACCTTTAACCTCATGTGGTATTTTATTGAATGCAAAATACAGGTTATGTTTGACATAAGGTTCCTCTAAAACGCCACATATTATGTTTTTGTAGTATTAAAATCAAGTTTTAGGACCCGCAAGCTCTCTGAATTTGAATTAAATGAAGTGTCAAAGTCTATATGGCAGTTATTTTTATTGTTGAATAATGTTTCGATTGTTTTCTCGATTAATTAATTAGTCGTTTGGTCAATTGTAGTCAGAAAATTGTGATGTTCAGTTTCATAGAGGAGGAAAGAAACCAGAAAATAATCACAGTTATGAAGCTGCATGCAGAGACTTCAAAAACGACCAAGTTAATCTATTATCCAGACAGTTAGTGATTAATCAGTTAATCCCTCTGTTTATTTAAACGTTTTGAAATACTCTTAAAGATAAATGCTTCTTGCACGTGCTTTGTTTTTTTTTGTTTCCTGTAAAATACCCGTTGACTTAAACAAAATAAACCTGCAACAAACACATGTGCTCATACATTCGCCCTGCAGGTTCAGAGCTCCATGCAGGAAACACCGGCTTTGACAGTTTGCTGTGTACATGTGGCACTCGACCTGAAACAGGGAGTGGTCACTTTTACGAGCTCGTCTGCCGGCATGTGCTCCTCCTCCGCTATTGCACAAGCAAACGGTCTCAGATGTCTCAGATGTGGGAATCCTCAGATTAGATTGTGCAGTTTAAGGGCTTTGGGTCTCATCTTGTAGACAAAACAACAACTCCTCTGATGAAATACACACAAAATCAAACACAAATCAGCCCTAACTGAGAGGCTGCAGTGGCACATAAACGTTTTTATCTCACTGAGCTCCTCCGGTCAGACTGAACTATTGCGGCTCCATTCTCTGCAAATGTCAACACTTGCGTGCTAAAGATGCGTAGCTTCCTGAAGTCGGGTTTAAACCTCATTACGGGTGCAGGATGTTGTGAAGTGCCGCCGGAGACGTCACAGCGGCACAGAAAAAGCCACACAATGGCGCTTAAGTAGAACTCTGCTTCTTTAATTGGTAAGTCTGAGTCACTCAAAGCCTTGAACCAGTCTGTTTGAACAAGCAGGAACTCGCGTCTCATTGACTGGAACACTGAGGGTCTGTTGACGTGACGAGGCACGAGCTCAGAGAATTGAACTCTGCCCTCTAGAGGAAGGCGGTGCAGACGAGGCTGCAGGGTTCCCCGGGTTCATGCCTGCCATGATGTGCAGTCCCACATATCAGAGGTGACTTAACGCCCCAGTGCTTCCTTCCCAATGATGCAAAAGCCCTCTGTTAGGTGACTGCAGGCTTATTTCCCCCCTGCTGCCCGTCTGTTCGCTGCCAAGTCCGGATGCACTCCTATGGCTGGTTCTCTTCCTGCCTGTGGTGAAGCTGCAGTGCTGATCTAATGTACAGCAGAAAAAAAACAAAAACCCAAGAAGGGAAACCCACCAGAAGGGAAGCGGCGTGCTGCATGTGGTGAACGGGTTTCAGACTGACAGCAGAGTCTGACTGAGTGGATTGTTGTTTGCAAAGAGGGATGCCTTTGTGCATATCTGTGGACTTAACCTGTCTGCCTTCTCCAGCTGTGTGTTTCATCCGTGTGCAGCCCAAATACGACCTCTGACATCACTTTTGGCCTCGCTGTGAGGCTTTGAGAGTCAGCAATTTTCTTGAAAGATCTCAGTTTTACTTGAACTTCAGCGCCAAACTGCAAACGCTAAGTACTGTTTTTTTGGGGGGTGATTTATTTGCAGGCTCCTCCAAAGAATCAGACACAAAAGTTGAGTTTTATCTTTTATTTCAGGCTATTAACAAGCAAAAAGCACAAAAATGTAAAAGAATACACACATAGCAGCAGAAGCCAGTGTTTTGATGACAATTCAAAACCTTAAAGTACCAACAAGTGTGTGTTTCATCTGTCTGGAGCCCAAATATGACCCCTGACATAACCTCTGTAAGGTTCACCTTTGAAAGTCAGCAGTTTTTTTTTTGAAAGATCGATCTCAGGTTAACTAGAACTACAACACCAAACTGCAAGTGCTAAATGCACCTGAATGATTTATTTGCAGGATCCTCCAAAGAATCCGTGTTTCTTTGTTTGGCACTTGAGATCCAGACATGGCAATGAGACAAAAAAGTTGAGTTTTATCTTTTATTTCAGGCTATTGACAAGCAAATATGTCAAAGAATACATACATAGCAGTAGAATCCAGTGTTTTGGTGACAAGTCAGGTCCTTAAAGTACCAAAAACATCCATGCAAATGTGTGTTTCATCTGTCTGGAGCCCAAATATGACCTCTGACATTAACCTCTGTACGGTTCAGCTTTGAGAGTCAGCAGTTTTCTTGACTATTTCAGGTTAAGTAGAACTACAGCACCAAACTCTAAGTGCTAGATACAGTTTTCTTCGTATTTTTTGTGATTTATTTGCAGGATCCTACAAAAATGTTTTTTTTTACTGCTCGTGCATTTGAATTTGAGATTAAAAAAATGGAAATCAGGCAAAATGAAGCAGGTTTTAGCTTTTATTTCAGGCTATTTTCATGCAAATGCACAAATATTTATATGAATTTATATCTAAAAATAACATAGCAGTAGAATCCTGTCTCTAATTTTGACTCATTGTTGTGTTTTGATGACAGTTCAGATGTCTAAAGTACCAAAAACATCAGTTTATTTATAGAGAACCTTTAACAGTTGCAGTTACTCCACCGTGTTCTCGTTTCAGAGCCTTAATTAACTTCTGCTTGTTCATTCAAAAGTAGGTCAGCTCGGTGTATTCACTTCCCACCAGCTATAAAAAGTGGAAAGTCTTACATCTGCTTCCTAGAAAATACACAGTTGAGTTTAAACTTCTGCTGTCCTCACGTCACCAAGTCAGAACCATTTTAGTGAGTTATCGTCTCTGTTCTTTGAAAATGTGGAGCTGGGGAACGTACCTGAGATCCCAGTTTTCAATCAAAAGGTCAGATCCAGCTTCGGTTTGGCGTGGGTGAAGCGAAGGTCGGAGTTCACAGGCCTCGGATCAGCTGACTGGTGGGCAAACAGAACCTCGACAGTGGGGAGGATTGTTCCGCCGTGGAACCGAAGGGGAGGGATGTTAATGAGAGGGAAGGTGGGGAACTGGTGGTTTAGCAGCAGGAAACAGCAGCCCAGACGGCAGGAAACGTTTCCACAACATCGGACATCGTTACCTACATGTTTAAGTAAATGTTTTAATCCAAAGAATGTTTCAAGTAATATTTGGATTACGTTCTATGAAGGAGGAACGTTCTCAAACCGATGTTAGTCAGTGCAACGTTCTCGAATGTTAGTGAGGATAACTGAATATGTTCTAAAAATGTTTGATGATGACATTGTTAGACCGTTACACCCTAACGTTCTCAAAGCTGCAAGTTAGACTGAAAACGTTTTTCCTGTTAACTCGTAACACCGTGGAACATTGTGGGAATCTTTTAGCGATTCAACGGTACGTTCCCCAGCAACATTTTTAGAACATTGCAGCCACAACGTTTTGTCTCTGTCGCACATGCCAGAACTAGAACGTCTTACAGAGAACGTTGTGTCATTGAAAGTCTAAATAACGTCTTGAATGCTGCATTGAGAACGTCCTTCCTTTGTTCTCATTTAGGAAACGTCTTATAGAAGAACGTTCTACGATGTGTTCCCTCAACAAAAAGGCAACGTGTTCTACCTTTAAAACGTTCTCTCATCGGAGGCCTTGGTAGCATATTGAAAACACTTTTCGAATGTTGCATTGAGAACGTCCTTCCATTGCTATCATTTGGGAAACGTCTTATAGAAGAACGTTCTACAATGTGTTCCGTCAACAAAAAGGCAACATGTTCTACCTTTAAAATGTTCTCTCATCTGAGGCCTTGGTAACATATCGAAAACACTTTTCCAAGGTTGCATTGAGAACGTCCTTCCATTGTTATCATTTGGGAAATGTCTCATAGTAGAACGTTCTATAATGTGTTCCCTCAACTAAAAGGCAACGTGTTCTACATTTAAAAAGTTCTCTCATCTAAGACCTCAATAACATGTAGAGAACATTTGTTTTTTATGTTGCTTGGAGAATGTTCTGATTTTGTTATCATGGATGGTTGTGAGAATGTTTTACAGGAGAACGTTCTGGAAAGTTTAAAACATTGCAGCCAGAACGTTCCACCTTCGTTAAAACATAACACTCCAAGAATGTTTTATAAAAAATAAACTGAAGCCACCCCTGATAACACTTGGAAAACATTTCTTGAATGTTTGTTTGAGAACGTTCTTCCTTTGTTGTCATGGAACATAATCTTTGTTCCCGACAACATCCTCTAAAGGTTC